CTGTGACCCCAGAGCTCGGAGACCGGGATCACAGGTTTAAGGCCAGTCTCAGCAACAGATGAAGGCACTATCTCAAAATAAAATTTAAAAATAGGCTGCGCATGTCGCTCAGTGGTAGAGCTCTTGTCTAGTACCCGAGAGGCAGGACCTAAAGAAAGGTCCTCAGGACCTAAAGAAAAGAGGAAGAGGGCTGGGGATGTGGCTCAAGCGGTAGCGCGCTCGCCTGGCATGCGTGCAGCCCAGGTTCGATCCTCAGCACCACATACAAACAAAGATGTTGTGTCCGCCAAAGACTGAAAAATAAATATTAGAATTCTCTCTCTTCTCTCTCTCTCTTAAAAAAAAAAAGAAAAGAAAGGAGGAAGAAAAAAGAAAAAAGAACAAGGGCATGAAGTCAAAGGAGCCAAACTTTGCCACCTGCCTACTGTGTGACTGTGGGCAAGTCATTTGACCTCTTTGATCCTTGTTTTCTAAACTGGAAAAATTAATAATTTGACCAAATGTGCTGATTATGGGAGAAACAGCAAGTGATTATTTTGATGGATGCTAAGGAAGTATTTAATAAAACTTAACAACCTGTAATCCCAGCGGCTCTGGAGGCTGAGGCAGGAAGATCAGGAGTTCAAAGGGAGCCTCAGCAAAAGCAAGGCGCTAAGCAACTCAGGGAGACCCTGTCTCTAAATAAAATACAAAACAGGGCTGGGGATGTAGCTCAGTGGTCGAGTGCCCCTGAGTTCAATCCCTGGTTCCCAAACAAAACAAAACTTAACAACCATTCTTAATTTTGAAAAAGACTCCATTAAACTAAGAATCAACTTGGGATTGGGGATATATCTTAACTATAGACTGCTTGCCTAGCATGCAGAAGATCCTGGGACCATCCCCAGCACTGGGGGAAAAAAAGTAGCTAAAATAGAAATACATTTTATGTTTTAATGATGATAAAAATATAAACATGAGCCAGACATGGTGGCACACACCTATAATCCCAGTGACTCAGGAAGAGTCACAAGATTGAGCCCAGCCTTGGAACTTAGTGAGAACCTATCTCAAAATCAAAATAAAAAGAACTAGGGGGCTGAGGCTGTAGCTCAGTGGCAGGCGCTTGCCTAGCATGTGGGAGGCACTGGGTTTGATTCTCAGCACCATGTATAAATAATTAAAGTCCACTGATAACTTAAGGAAAAAAAAAGGACTGGGGAGGTAGCACCCCTGGGTTCAATCTCCAGGACCTCAATATAGATACAGAATCAGAAAAATATACAGATGGAGAGATACACACGTGTCACCAGAACCCAGTGTCACACACCATGGGGAAACCTAGAGGTATTTGCACCAACTGCAGGACCAAGGCAGGACTCTCCTGCCACAGCTGCTGCTGATCGCTAGGCTGGGGACAGCCCATGCCATTAGGCAAGACAGCTAAATATGGGGGACAAATGTTGGACATGCATCTGCAAAATTCTGCCTTTGGATTATTACCTGTAAAAGCAAAGAGAGATCATTAGAAAAACTTAGGAGGCTAGAAAAATAATATTTGAAAATCAATGGCCGATATGAAGGCACAGATACACAGCAACTGATTAGACTATGTCTGTGAAGAAAAGGTCTCATTCATAGTAGCATTATTTTAAAAAATGTAAAATGTCAGGAAGTTAGCAAGGATCACATAAATTCTTTTTTTTTTTTTTTTCTGCTCTGCTGGGGTTGGACCCAGGGCCTTGTGCGTGCTAAGCAAGTGCTCTGCCACCGAGCTACGCCCCGGCCCAGATTGTGTGAATTCTAGGTGAAGAATAGGGGTGTCAAGGAAGACTTGGATTTTAAAAATCAAAGCTTTCATTTTTATATCAGAAACCCTATGTCATAAAAACACCCATTTTTTTTTTCTGAATCAGGTATGATTTAATAAAACCCCAATGGCATATTTAAAAACTAATGAAGTGATTCATCTAGAAGTTTGAGAATTCCTGTAGAGGGCGAGCAATGAGCCAGGCTAACTCCACCAGCTGTTGAAACAGGTAGCGCAGGACCCACCACGTCACTGCCACTGCCATCCGAGGCACCTCATATGCTCCAAGTTTTGTTTGGACTTTATAAGAACCAAGTCACTTGATCTTTACAGCAACACTTGAAGTAGTGGACACCAGTGTTCAAGGGGCTCTTGATACCCTTCTCCCTTGTCCAAATTCAAAGCCCTAAGAGGGGGTTGGAGATATAGCTCAGGTGGTAGAGTGCCTGCCTCGTATGCACAAGGCCCCGGGTTCAATTCCCAGCACCACCAAAAAAAAGAAAGAAAGAAAAAGCTGGCACTATCAAAAGTTGCTGAAGATACGGGGCAATGAAAACCCTTACCTGTTGCTGGTGGGGACACAAACAGGACATCTGTGTGGCCAACAGTTTGGCCACTTTCGACAAAGTGAAGCCTGGTTGCACCACAAGACCCAGCAATCCCACCCCCAGGTACGGACCCCACTGACTTGAAAACTTAGGTCCACACAAAACCCCACATGTTGATGTTTTCAGTAGTTTTATTAACATAATTGCCCCAAACTGAAAGCCACCAACTTGTCCTTCAATAGGTGAATGGATAATGAAATGCCCATTTATATGATGGGATATTATTCAATACTAAAAAGGAATGTGCTATCAAGCTGGGCCCACCCGTAATCCTAGCTACCCCAGAGGCTGAGGCAGGAGGATGGAAAGTTCAAGGCCAGCCTGGGCAACTTAGCCAGACCCTGTCTCAAAAAATAAAAACTTTAAAAATGGCTGGTGATGTAGCTCAGTGGTAGAGAATTTGCCTAGCGTGCATGAGACCCTGAGTGCAATCCCCAATACTGCAATTGTAACAACAAAAAAAGTATTCTTAACAAACAAACAAATTCCTAGAGACGGGCTGACTTTCCCATCCTGCCACAGTAGCCCTGCATGGGAGGGAAGGAGCTAGAATACACCACTCTGTTGCATTGACTCTTAATTACTTTTTGTAATTGTAGACGGACAGAGCGCCTTTATTTTGTTTGTTTTCTTTTATGTGGTGCTCATGATTGAACCCAGTGCCTCACATGTGCTAGGCAGCGCTCTGCCACTGAGCTGCCGCCCCAGCCCTGTTGAAAAACAGCTTAAAAGAGCAATGACAAATAGCTCAGATCTTCATGCTGCTTCTTAGAAGCAGAAGCTGAAATTCCCATGGCTTTTAGTCGGGTTTTTCACTGCTGTGACTCAAAGACCCGAACAAGAACAATTTTAGAGGAGAAAAAGTTTATTTGGGGGCTCACTATTTCAAGAGTTCTCAATCCACAGACAGCAGGCTCCCTTCCTCCGGGCTTGAAGTGAAGCTGAAGAGAAGCAGCTCTCTTGATGATCAGAGAGCAGAGAGGGAGACTCCGCCCATCAGACACAGTATCCCAAAGCCACGCCCCCAAGCCCACCCCCTCCCACCTCCAGTCCCCTGCGCAGTTAATCCCGTCACAGAACCTGTTCGCCGATTGGATTAGGCGCCGTGGCCGGATCTTGGTGAACCTTGCATTGCTTCACACATGAGCTTTTAGGGGACACCTCACATCTAACTATAACACCACGTGAGCAGACCTGCTGTCCCCAAAGACAAGAAACTAAGACTGGAAGAAGTCTGCCAGGGACTTGTTAAAGCAGCTCTCATTGTCCAAGTGCCCGCGTCCTTCGGTGGCTTCTCCCCAGCCCACTGTTCCGTCCACCCCGCACACAGCTGGCTCCCACTGCCCCTGCAGGAGGGCTCCTGCGCCCTGTAAAACTTGCATTAGTTAAATGTGGGCCTTTCTCCTACTCACAAACCGTCAGCTTCACTCTCTGTCCGACGGGGACCCTGAGAGGATGGAGGCAGAGCTCTGCTGGCCCTGCATATGTCGCCAGCTCCCCAGGTCGGAGTGATGGGTAGGGGACAGGCCCGGGTCCAGTTTCTCTCTCCAGCTCACCAATGGGGTGAGACGCTCACCTCCCACTGGGGCTCCAGGTCTGAGTGTTGAGGACAATCCCTTCCAGTGTGAGTGAGGCGGCAGGAGGCTCAGGCTGAAGTCCAGGTGGGAGGACTGCTGCCCTGTGAGTAGAGGACCGGTCTGTCCAGTGCAGAATAGGTTCACAGAACAGTGGAGACACAGAGACAGATCGGAGCGGCATTTCAACTCAGGGAGGGGGAAGATTAATGACTCAAAAACAAGGTTGGGGACAGCTTCCCCCCAGACTGTCACTTCACCTAAAAGCCCACCATCAGAACCAACTCGCTTTGGTCAGGGAGTGGTCACAGAAGCCCACTGTCACCCCCATTCACACAGCTGGGCTAGTCCACCCCATCTTCTGCCCCCCCCCCCCCGGGGCCTGGCCCTCCAGGGGTGATATGTGATTGGCCTGGTTTGGAAGGCGGGCACCACCTGGGGATCCCAGGGAGCCAGGGATACTACTTATAAAGACCCGGTTCTGTTGAACTGAGTTGTTAAGGGTATGGAAGGCCGGGGGCCTGGGGGACATGGCATGCTGCAGCATACCCAGGGGTCTGATGATGAATCAGGGGAGGCAAGATGAGGAGCAGTGCTGTCCCCCACCCAGAGAGGGCAGAGTGTCTGCGGCGATGTGCCGGTGTGCGCGTGTGCGTGTGCCTGGGCGTGCATGCCTGTCCATGTCTGCAGTGTGTCACGGGGCAGGCGGGTGCCCGGTGTGTGCTCCCCGCAGTGCATAAGTGCTCGCGGATGGCAGCGGGTGGGGCTGGGATGCAAAGCCACGGTCCCCCGCGGTGTGGACACCCTCCGCTCTCTCCCTTTGTCCCTGGTACTTGAGGTGGCAACGCACAGTCTTCATAGACCCCCAGTTGGGTGGGGGAGAGGGTGGAAGGGGACAGAGCGGAGGAGCCGGGGCCTTGGGGTCCTGGGCGGCCGCCCCACCCGATGAAGGATCTGCCCTCCAGGGGGCGCCCCCGAGCCAGAAAAGGGCTCCGGGTTCTGCGGTGGCTCCGTCCAAAACCTCCTCGGCCACCAGCGACCCGCAGCCTCGGCCCCCGGCCCCAGCCCTGAGCCCCGCGTTCCGCACCCTCGGCCCCTTCCTGGCGCCCAGCACGGGCCCGCCGTGGCCCCCGCGGGAGGGTGTGTCTGGGGGGCTGCGGGGGACGTTGGCGCCGCGTCCCCAGATGACCCCTCGGCGGGGGCGAGAGGCCGCGGGGAGAGCGGGCATCGCGCCGCGGGCGCGGACCGTCCGGGAGGCTGTGGGCCTGCGCGGGCGGGGGACATCGCGTTTCCCGGTTTATTTCCTCCTCGCAGGTGGCCGGAGCACGGCAGAGGGCCCAGCAGGCGTCTGCAGGGCAGAGGATGCCCAGGGCCTGGAGGGCCCTTCCTTGAGCGACCCGGATGACAACAGTCCCCACCTGCTGGGGTGGATGAGGTCATGGGAGTCAGCGCCGAGAATAGGACCTGGCACAAAGAAGGTGACACATCCTGGACATTTCTAAATCCTTTCAGGAGACACCAGACCCCCGCTTTCCACTTGACCCTGAGAGCGCTCCCTGGTTCCCCTGGGGGCAACTTCTGGCTCCTTGGCTCCTCCAGCAGGGAGGAGCTGCTTGTCTCAGGCACAGTGCCAGGCCCCTCCTGGCCCGCAGAGAGCCAGCCTGCCCAGAGTTGACCAGCGAGCAGGGGTGGGGTGGGCCAACTTTTCCCAGGGGACTTCCTGCAGGGCCTGGGCAGGCCAGGCACCTGAGCAGGTGAGACCCAGGCAGATCCTGCCAGAGAAGCCCAGCTACTGGAAGCCTGGGTGGTCTCATGCCCGCTGTCCTGCACAGCAGGGACCAGGACCTCCTCCCTGGTGAGAGCCACCTGTACCCTCAGAAATACCACCTCACTGAGTGCAGAATTCTAACGAGGGAGCTGTGCTGAAGGTGGAGTTGGGGCCTGGGCTTTTGCTTTGACACTGGTGACATTGACCTTGAGCTGGTTACTTAACTCCCTGAACCTCAGTTTTCTTGTCTGTAAAATGGAAACAATTGTACCTATTGTGTCCCCAGCAACCTTTTTAATGACTCCATTTCACTCCTGGAGAGTGGGGTTCATCTTACACTTTTCTGTCTACCTTACAATTTGACGATTAAGTTCATTCATCGACTCATCAAAGAATAGTAATAAAGAATGTGAGAGCTTGATATTTGCCTGGCACCCTTGCTCATCCATTCCCCTGCCCACGCTGGGAGGTAGAAGTCTGTATTATTCCTATTTCACAGAAGAGAAAATGGAGGCCAGAGACTCGAGGACTCATGGTCACAGAGCTGAACGTGATCCAGACCTGGGTCGTCTGGTTTCACGGACTGCCTCTCCAGGCCAGAGACGGGTGCATGGTAGCCCCTGACTAAGGTAAGCAAGGCCTAGCCAGTTGGATAAAAGCACAGGTGATCTCTGGGTCAGATCTGCTGGCTGAGTCAGGGTGCAAGGGCAGGAGCTGGAGCAGCAGCTTTGGACCATGAGATGAAGGCTGAGTGTCAAGGCACAGAGAAGGGTTGCAGGACCCTGAAGGGTTTGGATGATGGACTAGATGCAGATGTTTTCTCTCCTTTATTTCAGCATGTGAGCTGTTTCCCTCCACCTCATTTCTGTGCTTTTGAAACCAACCTGGGCCTGCACTGAAGACCCAAATGGAAATAAGGAGTGGCTGTGGACGAATTCTTCTTTCCGTCTCTCCGGGAAGTTGGGAGAGTTGAGGACGATTTTGCAATGGCCAGACATCCAGTTTGTGAAATACTGCTGTTTTTTTTTTTTTTCCTTCCCTTGCCAAAATATAATCATTTAGGGGATTTTTTTTTTTTGAGAGAGAGAGAATTTTCAATATTTTTATTTATTTTTTTAGTTTTTCGGCGGACACAACATGTTTGTATGTGGTGCTGAGGATCGAACCTGGGCTGCACGCATGCAGCCACATCCCCAGCCCGTTTAGGGGATTTTCATCGACTGTTTTTTTTTTTAGAAGTCTTGTTTTTCCCAGTCAGCTTGGTTAGGATGTAGCTTTTCCTGGTGAAGAAATATTGAGGTTCATTTGACTTCTCTGAGGTCTGATGGGAAGTGGGGGACTTTCCTGGGATAGGAGATGGGGTCATGTGACAGAAGAGAAGGCAGGGTCAGGGCTGGAGGCCAGGCCCTGGACAAGGTCAAGCAAAGGCAGAAACGGAGGAGGGTGACAGGCCAGCCCTGGCCCAGCACAGAGGCCTGAGCACAGGGAGGCTTGGCGGGGTTCAGGGGCACACCCCCAGGCTCAGCCTCTCCTGGGTGGGGCGATCCTCTTCACGCCTCTCTAGAGGAGGCAGACTGGCCAAACGGGAAAGAAGTAGACACTGAGCAAGTGAAGCCTCTTGACTTAGAAGACACCTCAAGACCTTACAAAACAGGCCGGGCGCGGTGGCGCATGCCTGCAATCCCAGCAACTTTGGAGGCTGAGGCAGGAGGATCCCAAGTTCAAGGGACTTGGGGATTCAAGTAACTTAGTGAGCAAGCACCTAAGCAACTTGGAGAGACTCTGTCTCAAAATAAAAAATAAGCCGGGTGTGGTGGCACATGCCTCTAATCCCAGTGGCTCTGGAGGCTGAGGCAGGAGGACTGCAAGTTCAAAGCCAGCCTCAGCAGCTTAGTGAGGCCCTAAGCAACTCAGCAAGACCCTGTCTCTAAGTAAAATATAAAGTAGATCTGGGGATGTGGCTCAGTGGTTAAGCACCCCTGGGTCCAATCCCTGGTAAAAACAGTAAAATCAAGTCAGGGGAGCGCCTTCCTCAGAGGGGAGTGGAGCACCTGTCAAGTGTCCCCCTCGTGCCTGGCCGAGAGAGAGCTCAGAGCTGTCAGTGCTGCGGCCATCATTGTCCGGGTCATACATGAGGCTAGCGTGTTCTGTGGCTTGAATGTCCCCCTGAGGCTTGCGTGTGGGAACATGATCTGGCATGCCGTCGTAAGGAGGGGACTTTGGGGAGATGGCTAAAAGCCAACACCCTCATGAGTGGGATTGGTGCCCTTCCGAGAGAGGCCGAGGGAGCCTATTTGTGTCTTCTGCCTGTGGGGACCCTGGCAGAAGGTGCCATCTGGGAAGCAGAGGCTGAGCCCCCAGCAGGTACCAGGTCTGCCAGTGCCGTGACCTTGGGAGCCGCCTCCAGCACTGGGAGGACACTCTGTTATCCTAAGTGACTCAGCTGGGTATGGAGCCCGGGAGACCCACATCACCCTTGTTTTCCACACCGCCCTGCCCTGTGGTCATGGGTTTCTCTTGACCAGGAAAGGTCTGGCCGTGAGAAAGTTCCAGACTGCTATTAAAACACGGATGACGAAGGCAACAGGGCAGGCCCTTCCGTCTCTCCATCTGGGTTTTCTGTCTCTGAGTCCAGTCGGCACCGACAGGCATCTGCGACACGGCTTAGTCACGACAGCTGCGACTTCCTGGGACCTCGCCTCGCACGTCCCCAGCGTTGTTCTAGTTATTCTTTAATTGTGGCAAAATATGCACAACCTGAAGGTACCCCCCTCCAGCTTCTGCAGGGCTGAGGCGGCGCCCAGAGCCCAGGCACCAGGCCAGCTTCAGCCCTGAGCTGCACCCCAGGCTCCCCCACTATTTAGAAGTTCAGTCAGGTCCTCCCCACTGTGGGGCACGCTCGCTTTCATCTTGACCATGATCTTGCAGGCTTGGAGATGCCAGGCGGTGTCTCCCTAAGCCTCCCTGGGGCCAATCTCTGTGGCCTCCCTCGCCGCCCCCCTCACGCCCGCTGACTCCGTGGCCTGAGCCCCCACTTTCCATTTCAGCCTGGCTGGAGGTTGCACCCCAGGCTCTTGACCAGGCTGTAGCTAGAGCTGGTCCCCACCCTCGCCCCCAGGCCCCCAGAGAACAACTGTGTGGCCATCACCACCCGGCGTGGGTCCTCAAGGGTAGAGTGGCCTTTAGAATGCTATTATCTCTGAAATGTCCCTCCACCGGGAACAGCCGGCCCAACAGAATGCTGGCAACGCCACCAACCACTCAGCTGTGACCTCAGTGGGGGGCAACACGACAAGGTGGGGCTCTGGCTTACGGGGTACAGAGAGTGCACCGCAGCAGAGAGCGGCCGATCCCCTAACAGACCCCCGCCAGGACGCGTGACCACAGCCGGGCACCCTGCAGACAGCCGTCTCCTGTTCCTAGACCACGTTCTGCTGGCTTAGCGGTGTCCCTCCTGGTGTTTCTACCAGGACCAACCTGGGTTCCCCTTAGCTGGAAACTGGGACTGCCACTGGCCACGTGGGACTCCCTATCCATGGCACCAAGGAAAGGAAAGAAAACAACATATAAATACATATTCACACACATGTATGTATGTTTTCAATAACAACATTACTGAGACATAATTCACGTGCCCTAAAATTTGCCCTGTGGTTAAGTCCCTCTGGGTTCAGTCACTGGTACAGAAAAAAAAAAAATCTTTCCACATGTTTATTGCACATATCTTTGGAGAAAGGCTTTTCAAAACCATTTCCCATTTTTAAATCGGGTCATTTTATTTATTTATTATGGTGGTAGGGTTGTGCAGTTCTGCTGCACAGCATGCTGATTTTATTACGTTTTTGGTGCCCCCCAAAGAAGCTCTGTGCCCACCAGAGGAGCCCCGTACCCTCCTCCCAGCCCACTGGTCTGCTCTCTGACTCTGGTTCTGCCAGCCGCAGACTTTTCCCTGTAAGTGGAATCACACAGCATGTGTGGCTCAGGAGGGGGTTGCTTGAGTCCGAGGGTTGGAGGTCAGCATGGGTCACAACGTGAGACCCCCATCTCAAAAATTCCATATTGCTGAATGATGGCTCCTTGTGCGGCTGTGCCCATCTGTCTGAGGGCTCCCTGGGGAGCCAGCACTGGGTGTGTGTAGAGATGTGAGAGGGGACTACTGAGAGGCATTGGCTCCTGGGATTGCAGAGGCCTTCTCTGCGCTGGAGACCCTGGATCTGGGTTGGGTCACTCAGTCCAAGTCCAAAGGCCTCAGAGCCTCCAAACCAGGGAAGCCGAAGGTTTCATTCCCAGTCTGAAGCCAAAAGCCTGAGAAGGAAGGGGCTGCTGGGACAGGTCCCGGAGCCCACAGGCCACAGAGCCTGGGATTCCAATGTCCAAGGAGCAGGAAGAGTCCATCCGGGGCTTGGAAGACACCAGTCACCTTCTGTACTTGCTCTCTGGGCCCCCAGCAGATGAGATGCCACCCACACTGAGGGTGTCCTCCCACCTGGCCCACTCGGACCCCCTGCTCACCCTCGCCGCGAAGCCCTCACAGACACACTCCTCAGGCGGATTCTGACGTGGGTTCCACCTTTGGGCTGCCACCTCCTGCCACCTATGCACGCTCCCTCATGACTTTTCGTGGACGTGTTCGTTTCTCCGCAGACGTACCTGAGGGGGGAAGTGCTGGTCATGTGGTGACTTGGCTGAACTTTTTGAGGAAGTGCCAGGGTGTTCTTCTGAAGTTGTCACTCCGTCTCGCCTTCCCCAGCAATGCCCTGAGTTCCAATTTCTTCACATCCTCGCAGTCACTGGTCTGGCTTTCTGGTGTGAAACGCCACCACTCGTGGCTTTGAGTCACATATCCTTTTTTTTTGGGGGGGAGGGGGAAGGTGGGTCCCATGGATTGAACTCAGGGGAACTAAAACACTGAGCTACATTCTCAGCTCTATTTATTTGCATTTTATTTAGAGACAGGGTCTCACTGAGTTGCTTAGTGCCTTGCATTTGCTGAGGCTGGCTGTGAACTCATGATTTTCCTGCCTCAGCCTCCTATGCACTGCACCCCTCGAGTTGCATATCCTTAATGATTAATGATGCCAAACATCCTTCCGGCTGGGCTTGGTGGCACGCCGTAATCCCAGCTACTTGGGCGGCTGAGGAAGGAGGATCGCAAGTTTGAGGCCAGCCTAAGCAACTTAGCAAGGCCCTAAGCAACTTAGCAAGACCCTGTCTCAAAAAATAAAAAGGTGGGCTGGGGATGTGGCTCAAGCGGTAGCGCGCTCGCCTGGCATGCGTGCGGCCCGGGTTCGATCCTCAGCACCACATACAAACAAAGATGTTGTGTCCGCCGAAAACTAAATAAATAAATATGAAAAATAAATAAAAAGGTCTGAGGATGTGGCTCAGTGGTTAAGTCCCTCTGGGTTCAATCACTGGTACAGAAAAAAAAAATCTTCCCACATGTTTATTGCTCATATCTTTGGAGAAAGGCTTTTCAAAACCATTTCCCGTTTTTAAATTGGGTCATATTGATTGATTGATTGATTGATTGATGGTGGTAGGGGTTGAACCCAGGGGCACTTAACCACTGAGCTCCACATCCCCAGCCCTTTTTATTTTGAGACAGGGTCTGGCTAAGTTGCCCAGGCTGGCCTTGAATTTGTGATCCTCCTTCCTCAGCCTCCCGAGTACCTGAGATCACAGGTGTGTGCCACCCCTCCCAGTTCCATTTGTGCTTCTGATGTCATTGCCAAATCCAAAATCATGAAGAGTAATTCTGTTTTCTTCTTAGAGTTTTATAGCTGTAGCTCTTATGTTTAAATCCTTGATCTATTTGGAGTTAATTTTTGGACGAGGTGTGACGAGGGGACCCAACCGCCTTCTTTTGCGGGTGGCCGCAGCTTCCCATGCTTCTGGTGGAGAAGTCCCTTTTCCCCATTGGACTGTCTTGTCACTTTGTCAAAACTCATCTGACGGTGACTGGAAGGGCTTATTTCTGGGCTGTGCTCTGTTCCATGGGTGGCCGTCTGTCCTTAAGCCCACACCGCTCTGTCTCAATGACCCTCGTCAGTTCTGAAGCCAGCGAGGGTGCGGCCCTTGTCCGCGATGTCCCTCTCTTTCGATGCCTTGCGTTTCCATTCAGCTTTTTGGGTCGACTTGCTGATTTGTCCAGATCAATTCTCCAACAAGCACTGATGGCGGTGGTTGACTTTAAAACAGGGTCTTTAGGTTGCGGAGTCACATGGGGAGGTGACAGTCTTGGAGGGTGATTAGCCCTCTCAGAGATGGGTACAGTGATCACTGGGACTTTGTGTCCCTTTTCGGGGACAAGGGTGACTGCGCTAAGGAAGTGTCCATCTTGTGAATCGAAGCCTGGGAGGGCAGCTGCTGCTGGTGGGAGCCCTCGCGTGTGCCACGGGCCTCTCAGAGCAGCTGCTGGAGAACCGGAGGGGTGGACTGTGCTCGTGACCGTGGCACTGTCCCTCAGCTCCAAGGCCACCCTGCTGCGGGTGCTGCAAACCACATTGCTCCTTTGCCCACGGGAAGCCTGTCTTGCTCTACTGATGGCACATTCTAGAAGGAGACCCGGGCTGGAGGAGGAGGGAGGACTCTTCATCTGCTCAGGGTCCTGCCAGAACCATCGCCCTGTCCACGGCTCTCCAGTGGGCAGTGGACTTAGTCCCAGCTTCAAATCCCTCTCCCCCTGGCAGGTACCAGCTGCAGCGTGTCTCTTCAGAGACTGGCCCTGGCTGGCCGGCACCCCCTCCACCGAGGCCCCCCCAGGCTCCCGAGGCAGCAGCACCCAGATTGGCAGCGTCTGCTCCTCAGGTGTGAGCAGCAAGCACAGCGGCCAGATCAATCCTCGCCCCTCCCCAGGGGACGGGGGAGGCCTGTCCATGTGGCCCACACCCTCCACCCCTGGGAGCCGCTGTGGGGGTGGGGGCAGATGGATGTTGCATCAGCCCCCCCGCCCGGTGAGGGGAGGAGTTTCCCTGGGGTCCACTGAAGCTTCTGGTGGAGCCAGCTTCTGGGATCCGGAAGCCTCCACTGCTTGAGGGCCGGCAGAGTCTGGGTGGAGGCCTGAGAGCCATGGGGTGGGCCAGGCGTGGGCATGGCCGCCAGCAGGGGAACCGCCAGGGCCTCGACCCCAGGCTCCACTGACCTCCATCCCCACACTTGGGGGCCCATCTCCCGGCAGCGACACCTTGGGCTGGTTGCTGGTGTGATAGCAGGAGCAAAGGTGACCCCATTTTGTTTTATGACTCCATCCTGTAGAACAACCAGGCCAAGTAGAAGGGTCATGACTGGGGCAAGATGTCCTTTCCCTTTTACTTTAGAAACCTTTAAGAACACGGAACTACCTAAGGGGGCATCGTTTCTGTAACTAGGGCAACCTCTGTAACTGGGGTGACTGGGATCACTGTGATTGGTTAGGCTTCCCTCTGCCTGACTGCCCTCTCCCGCTTCTGTACCTGGCTGGCTTGCATTGGCTGGACCCCCCAACATCCTTTTTGCAGTTTTCAGGCTTATAAGGAGCGCCCTTGCAATTGTTCGGGGCTGATCAGGGGAACAGCTTTATGTTCCGGTCAGTCGCCACCGGTGTGCTTCAGTAGAGGCTTGATTCGATCATACGTGCGTGGTCTGGAAGTCAGTTGATGAAACCCTGGGACGAAGCTTCAACTATAACACTTGGACGGCGGATGTGTTTGCAGGTGGAAGGACGCTGGGCCTGTGCCCCCCCTGTCTGCACCCCTCCCATTTGTGAGGTGGCCACTAACTAGTCCCCAGGACACTGTGTTCTCCTCGGTGAGGCGGAGACCCCGTCGCCCTTGAGTTCTCCTGCAGGTGAGGGTGGGGGGGGAGCTTTGGGAAACGCAGATCCTGGCTATTCCAGAGCCTGGCACGTCCTTGGGACTCTTACAGCCTGTGGGGACACTGACTTTCTGTGCCTGAAGGACCCTGGGCTGACTGGAAAAGGACCACCGTGTCAGGCCGGTGGCCGCCGTTTCTGTGCTCTGGACGGAGCTGTGCCAGGCAGCAGGGGCAGGAGCACATGAACGAGGCTGTATGAAGGGACCCACTTGCCCTCTTTGAGCACTCATTTCCTCTTGGCAAAGTGACAATCGTGCTACCCACTCAGAGGGTTGGGGGAGTCGGCACATGGCAAACACCTGCCCTTGGATGGCACTTGCCACATGGGGACACCATGTGGGCCTCTATTGCTTTTGGACTTTGAGATGTGGCCTCCTGATATGGATGCCCTGCTGTGGAGCCCAGGCTGCATCTGGAACTTTCCTCCCAGGCACTGAAACAGGCTCCCCGACAAGGTGGCTAGGTAGAGCCCTTGGTCCCATCCAGGTCTCTTAGAAATCTGTGGTTGTGCTGGGCGTGGGCCTACAATCCCAGCAGCTCAGGAGGCTGAGGAAGGAGGATTGAAGTTCAAAGCCAGCCTCAGCAACTTAGCGAGACCTTGTCTCAAAATAAATAATAAAAAGGGCTGGGGATGTGACTCAGTGGTTAAGTGCCCCTGAGTTCAATCCCTGGTACAAAAAAAAAAAAATCTCTGTGGTCACTTTCCAGTACTAGCCCCTGAAAAGCCTCATCTATTCGGGGACCTCAGGACAAGAGACTGCTGGGTTCCCTGCTCCCACTTTGTAGAGGAAGCAGCTGAGACTCGTATTAGATGTAACTAGTCTCACCGGGAGTTTGTGACCAGGCTTCTGGGCCCTAGAACACTGTTCTGCCTGCGATGCTGCAGGGACCCCAGGACCCCTTCTTGGGGTCTCTATGGAGCAGGGATCGCACACCCCCAACTAACTCTGAGCGTCTCAGGGAAGTTTTGAGGTGAATTTCCCGGAGGCCTGCCCGGCCCCTCTCCACACTGTTGTTGTTTATTTCCTGTCCCCTCCATCCGTCCCCTGCCCTGGCGCACGGAGGCCGCAGGGCAACATTGGAGGGTCCTGAGTGGCGCAGAAGGCCTGAGGTTCATGGGAAAGAAGGGCGTGTAGGTCCCCGGGCCCACGGGGACTCAGTTCATGGATTCTCCCCTCAGCAGGCAACCACATCCCATCCAACCGTGGGCTGGGCTGGGGCCAAGAGGGGACCCACCTGAGGCTCTACAAGGAGTGATGTTCTGATGGCAGAGGCAAGTGGGGTCTTCTGTCCCTTGGGGGCACTGAGGGAGGGAAAAGAGCATCTTGGGCCCCAGATAGACAAAGCTGCTGCTCTGAGGCCCAGCTCTGCCCACACTGTGCAGGTGGCCCTCGGTCTGTGTGCATCTCCTGGGCCCAGGCCCTCCTGCTCTGAGGGTACGGTGACCAGCCAAGTCTCCACTGTCATCAACTGGTGGTGTGGCCCCGGGGAGGAGGAGCTGGCAGTGCGACCTGGCGCTCTGAGAGGCTCAGCTTTCACTCTGCCACGGCTCCGGAGTTCCTCCATCCCGCCCTGGTTGCGTTCGGGCCTGCAGGCTTCCGGACTCTCCACACCTGCTGCCCCTTCCCCAGGACCACTCCTGGGGGCAGGCAGCCCCCTAAAAGGGGCCCCTGGCCTCCGCCTCCTCACCCAGCCAGGGCCTCTCTGCGGTGTCACCTGACTCTGCAGTCCCGACCCTGCTGGCCCAAGCTCCAGGGAGGCCCTGGCATTTAATCTCAGCTGATACCCATCTTCCCCTCCAGGCCTTGGCCAGGAGCCAGGCTGCACCCAACGTCCCCACATTCAGGCCTAGACCACGGCCCCTGGCAGCCACCTCCCGCCTCACTACCTTCTTGTTCTTGTTCCATGTTTATGTTATTTATTTATCTATTCACGCATTTATTTTTGCAGGACTGGGAATCAAGCCCAGGGCTACTCTACCACTGAGCTACGGCTCTATCTTTTCTTTTTGAGACAGGTTTCATCACTTGGTTGCCTTGAACTTGCGATCCTCCTGCCCCAGCCTCTTGAGTACCTAGGATGACAGGCCACTGTGCTGTCGTCATGTATATGTTATGGAAATGCACAGACCCTAGACCCTATGTGCGAGAGCAGTGGATTCCCACCAAGAAACACGCATCACCAGCATCCGATCAAGAAATGACAACCAGCTGGGCCTGGTGGCCCAGACCTGTGATTCCAGCTACTAGGGAGGCTGAGGCAGGAGGATCATGAGGCCCCGTCCCAAAAGATAAAAAGGACTGGGGCCGTGGCTCAGCGGCAGAGTGCTTGCCCAGCATGTGTGCGGCGCTGGGCACCATCCCCAGTACCTGCTGCCAGGAGAACGTTAATAGAAGTGACAGGTAAAGCCTCCAGAGTACCTCGCTAAAGACGTTTGTCTTGAAGCCAGGGGTGGTGGCCCAGGCCTGGGATCCCAGCTACTCAGAAGGTGCGGGAGAAAGACCACTGAGAGCAGGGTTTGAGAGCAGCCCGGGCACCGTAGTGAGGCCATCTCAAAATAGACATTGGCCCATTAGCCTTGGACACTCTCCCCTCCTCCCCATTAGCTGGGAAGCAGCAGCCACCAGAGCACTTTGCAAACCACATGTGGGGGTGGCCGAGGGCCCCACTGACCTTGGAGCACTGCCCCTGGGACTGCGCTATGAGGCATTATTCTACATTATTTAAGCCTTTTGATTTGGGGTCTTTTTGCTGTACTTTAACCTACATAAGTGGGAACACTTGATTTCCGTGAGGACAGACTTCAGGACCATTTGCCTTCACTCCGTACGGACCTCCCTGGCTTCCTCCTGTCATGGCTACCCTGGAGGTGAGCACTCTACCCCTTCTCACCCCGCTGCAGAAGCTCGGGTCACTCCTGAGTCAGGGCCCCCAGCCCGGCCCCTTCCTGACCTTCAACCTCACAGCAGAATTCCCAGCATGCCTTGTGTCGGGCTGGCCCAGGTCCGGACAAGTGAACCACGAAGCCAGACTTTCAGGGGCAGGGCCCACGCTCGCCCACTCTCAGCCTCTCTTGGGCACTCAGAGAGGGGACCTTCCAATTTAATATTTAATCAAGAAGTTGAATATTGATTCGCCAGTGGGAGGAAATGATCTCCCCTGTCCTCATCCTGCTGGGAAACCGACTTCTGTCCTCCCCGGGTCGGCCAGCCTGCAAGGCTCACTGACAGCCTGGCTGCTCGAGCCCCTGCCGGCCGCTCAGTGCCCCCAACAGAGGGAAGGTCCGCATCGTCCTCCTCAGTCTTGGACAAAGACCTCTGAAAACACAGTCCCGGAAACAAGCCGAGAAACTAGCAAAGGGTCTGAGGCCGTCCCCAGGGCCGTTCCACTGAGCCTGTCCCCCCTCTTCTCTCCCAGAACTCAGTGTAGAGCTAATGTTCCAGCTCCTTCCCCAGAGGCAGCGGCCGAGGCTGCCAGGGCATCAGGCAAGGCGAGCTGGGATGGGGCTGGAGGAATCAGGCCCAGGAAGGACAGGGGTCAGACCCCTCAGGCTGCTGTGGGGGCTCAGGGAGGACACCGGACTCTGGGCCGTGGGACTTGGCGCGGGGAGGTAGTGAGGAGTTATGCCCCTACCCCAGGCTGGCTCTGGACTCATCCCCAGCCAGCCTTCTTGCTGCCCTGAGCGCAGAAAGCCAAGGCCTGGGTTCGAATCCTGACACTGCCACCTGGTTTCTTTCTTTTTTTTTTAAATATTTATTTATTTATTTTAGTTTTCGGCGGACACAATATCTTTGTTTGTATGTGGTGCTGAGGATCGAACCCGGGCCGCACGCATGCCAGGCGAGCACGCTACCGCTTGAGCCACATCCCCAGCCCTGCCACCTAGTTTCTTAGTCTCGGTTTCCCCACATGGTAAGTGGGGGGCAAAGATAACACTTGTAATAACTAATAAGTTATGAAAAGATAGGTAAGAAGATTGGAGAAATGACTTGACTTAGAATCCATTGTCTTCACGGGTCATTCACTTGGTTCCACGCCACTTGGTTCATTTGATAGTCACAACCCTGTTAGGAGGCGGGCACCACCCAGCTTCTCCGTGCAAAAGAGAAGCCAGGCAGAGCCCTGGCCAGGGCTCAGAGACAAGGAGGGAGGCAAAGAGGATCTCTGGGTCCCCTGCCCTCCTTTGGACAGCAGCCCGGAGTTCCTCCCAGCCTAGATGAGGTGCAAGAATACAGCATAATGATGGGTGGGGGCCTCTGGCGGGCTGGGGTGAGGGTGCTGGGCTCCTCCCAGCCTGGAGGGCAACCAGCCTTTCTCCTATTCCTCAGCCCCACCCTCCCCTCCGCGTACTCTGCTGGATCCCACCTCAATCCTTACAGCAGCTGCATCCAGAGGCCTGGCATGGGGCAGGCGGGGCAGGGTGGCGCCCCCACCATCCAGGCTCCTGGATGGAGCAGCCTCACCAGAACGTGGAAGGGAGAAAAGCAGCCTCCTCCCCTGCCCCTGTGCTGCCCGGTTTCTCAGAGGTGGCTGCCAGAGCATCGAGAGTTCTCCCTCCCAGCCTTGGACGGGGCCCTGCCTGGCAGGATGCGAGGAGGGTCTGGGGCCAAGGCTGCCTCCTGGATCCTATTTCCAGGACACGGCCCTCTGGGAAGGCCTGCACACTCTTGGCCACCTGCAGTCCTACAGATGGGGTTGCGGCTGCCTTTCTGGGTCAGGGTCAGGGGCCAAGGATCTCTTAGTGGCACTCTCTGGGTAGAGACAGTCCAGGGCTGTCCCTTCTGGGTCCTCAGCTCTGCAGGGACAGACAGCGCCCACATAGCTGCATGAATGCCTTGCCCCCACAATATGATCCTGAGCCCACCTCCTGGAATGACCCCAGCAGACCCTCCCCTTCAAGATCTTGGTGGGGACAGGCCAAGAACCCAACAATCATGGATGATGAGCTGTGGGGCTGGAGGAGGGGTACTCGGGAGGCTTCCTGGAGGAGATCTCGCACTGTGGGGAGAAACAGGCACTGGTTGGTGAAGGTGGCTGAGGGGGGCATCGCAAGCCACATGGCTCAAGCATCGAGCACCCACACACTTTCCTAGGGTGAAGTGAGGATAGCAAAATTAAGTTGGGTATGGCCTGGGAGGGAGGCGGGGCCTGGTCTTGGGGCCTTCGATGCCGGGCTCAGGAGCTACTACTGCTCTGTGGCCCACAGGGAGCTGTGGAAGAGCAATGCTAGACCCTAAGAGACCATCTCACCCGTCCAATATATGGTCACACGAATGACTTGTAGTATTAAAGTAAAAGTGGTAATTCTAAAACATTATTAAAAGTTAGGTAAAACGATATTGTAGTTGGAGAAATAATTGGCTTAGAATCCATTGTCCTCGTAAGATAGATAAATAAATAAATCTCCTGCTCCTGAATCCCTACAGCTGGCAGCTGGCTCCTCAAGGTGTCACCCCCCAATGGGCAGGTGGAGTCCAGAGGCCCCAGAAGGCCTCCCCTCCCACCACTGAAGAGCAGCCCACTGTCCCAGGGCTGCTGGCAGCACCCCAGGCCTCCTGGGGGTGCTTCTCCTGCCTGGAAGGAACGCCCAGCCCTCAGAGGCCAAGCCCAGTGTGAGCCAGCTGGGGCCTGGCCCTGCAGAGTCCTCCTCTGGCTCAGACCTAGGCCACCCAGCAGGACACTATGGCACTCCCAGGCTCCACGGAGAGTCCTGTGGGCCCCATAGACCCTCATAGGTTCCTCGCTGTGACTCCCACCAGGGGGTCTGGTATCCTCATTTAGCCCCATTTAACTTAAAACAGATTCAGGCTTATTATGGGGTGGAAATGGGAGGGGCTCGGGGACCCAACCTAGACTGTTTGTGTGCCTGGGAAACTGAGGGGGAAAAGGACTCCTCCCACCCGAAGCTCAGTGACCCCCCATCACCCGGGGGCTGACCTGGAGGCCACTGTCGGCAGCTGCATGACCCCCGTGGCGTCCCGGGCTGAATGCGTGAAGGCACAAGGACCACGAGGCGCTGGACGTCGAGCCACGTTTATTATAATTATTCTCCTGAGTTTATGGGGGGTCTTTCAAATTCTTCCCCTGAATCAAAAGAACTTCCTCAGCCCTGTGCCCATGAAGTGGGCAGCTGGCACAGGCCACCTGAGCAACAACCCTGGGTGAGAGGATGGAGCCCCCAGCCCAGCGCTGCCCCCTCAGTCCTCCCCAAAGAAACCTCCCATGCCTGGATCTGCACCTGCGCTCTCGACTGCGGCCACCTCTGCTCTGCCCGGGAGCTCGTCCCTCCTTCCTTGTCCCCTCTGCTCAGGTTTCTCGGAGCTCCCCTCAGGGGCCCTCAGCCCCCACTGGCTGGGCTCCGGGTGTCACCCAGGAAGTTGCTTTGCCGTTCCAGGTGGGAGGTGCACTCTTCCTGCCACGTGTCTGGACGGGCACTCCCGATGGTTCTGGAATGCTCTGTGGGCCTCTGACCCGAGCCAGGGCGCCGGCCGAGGGGGTTCCCACCAGGGTTACCCCAGCCTGGAGCAGCCGCGGGGCCTGTGGACCGTGCTCAGGCCTCAGCCTGCCCCACGCCCGGCTGTGGCTGCCCGGACCTCCCTCTCCTGCCCGCCCACCTCCAGGAGAGGCGCCAGGCCGGCTCCTCACCAGTACATCTTCATGATCTCGTGCGTCGAGGGGCAGTAGCGGGCGTGGAGCTGGGCCAGCAGTGCCCTGGACGTGGCCTCGAAGCGCGTGCCCTGGCTCTTCTTGTTCCACACGTGGACAGCGTAGGTGGCATTGAGCAGCCGGGTCAGCTCCTCGGGCCTGACCTCCTCAAAGTACCTCTTCCAGCTCTGCCAGGGGACGGGGTAGAAGGCCTCCCGGGGCAGGGCGGTGACCCCGCGGCAAGTGTGGCTCTCCCCCAGGCTACGGATGGAGCACCACTTCTTGAAGACCCGCGTGAGCAGCTGGGGCCCCTGGTGGCCCCATATCCAGCCGTTGTAGTGGGCCACGAAGTCCCGCATGCACAGAGCCAGGAACTCGTGCTGCCGCTCGAAGGCCAGGAAGGCCCCGTTGAGGACGTAGCGGGACTGGGTGCCCAGCACGTTGGTCAGGTTCCTTAGGTTCTTGAGGACGATGAAGTCCGTGTCCAGGTAGATGCCGCCAAACTTCCAGAGCAGCGCGATCCTGGAGGCGTCGGAGAGCACGGGCAGCAGGTAGGGCTCCCAGCGCCGCCGCACGGCCCGGTACCAGGCTGCCAGCGGCGTGTCCCGGAACAGCTCCTCCAGGTCCAGCGGGAGCAGCTGCACGTTGGGGAAGCAGCCCAGAAGCGAGAGGCCCAGGTGCCGGGGCAGGGGCGCCTGGCCACCGGGAAGCCCCTTCATCAGGACCACCACCTGGGACTCGGGGTGGGTCCTGGCGGCCGACTCCACGGAGCACATGAACAGGAAGTTGGGGTTGGTCCGGTCTGAGGTCTCCAGGAAGAAGATGTTGCCTGGAGGGGGGGTGCTGGAGGACGGGGCTGGGGGCGTGAGTGGGGGGCAGGGGATGTCCACAGGCAGGCTATAGAGCTGCCCTTGGTCCTTGGCCTCTCCCACAACATGCCAGTAGATCATGACAGAGACAAAAAACGTGAACTTGAAGCCGATGATGAACAGGGTGCAGACCCGCTGCCTGGGGGTGCCCCGGAGTAGCCGCAGCGGGCAGTCGGAGGGCTTGGGCATGGTCTCCCCGATCACACAAGGAGCCTCCCGTGGGAACTGGCTGGTCTGCAAGAGATGAGCACCGTCATTCAGGCAGGCCACGCGCATCCCCAACCCGCTAGAGAAAGGCCTCCTGCGGCCCTCAGCCCGAGCAAGGCCAGTTTCCAAGCCCAGCGTCCGGGCGGATCCCAACCAGCCGGCTGCTCACCTGGGTTGGGAGCAGTGGGCCACAGACTTGCTCTCTGTAACAAACCCGTGACCCCGGAGGATGGTGTCACCTATGGTGTGCAGCCATGCAAGGACTCTCGGAAGTGACAGCCTTGCTACCCGACACACAGGCCTCTGCCTGGTGAGGCCTGTCTCCCTGGGCCTGCTGGGGTGGGCAGCCTGTCCTGTGAGAGCCAGCTCAGGCTGCCCTTAGATGCATGACCAGGGCAGATCCCCACAGGCCTCGCGGATGCTGAGCGTGAAGATGGCAGCTCAGGCGACAGCCTGTAACCTTTACTGGTACTACTGCCTCTGGACCCCCAGTCTTCCCTGGTGACCTTCATATGGCCAGTTGCTGAAACAAGTGGCTGGGAGAACAAGACAGGCTTGAGCCCTGTTCCCCAGGGCAGGGCGGGGTGAGCACCTGGGAGGCACAGGGCACCCAACCCTGCCTGAGCTGGCAGTGAGACCTGGGCAAGTCATTGAACTCGGAGCCTTGGTCTCCCATCTGCAGGACAGGAGCACTGGAGGCCACTGGAGAGTCACATTCTTTTATTCATTCAGTAGACACGAATCTTCCCCTACAGGCCAAGCGACTTCTTCCATGTGGGGGCCATGCTCATCTCCGACTTCCAGATGAGGAAAGGGAGGCTCGAGACTCTCCAAACCTCACCTGGAGTCCCAGAGCCACAAGTGGCAAGGCTGGGGACCATGAGCTCACAGCTGCACCACCTGCCTGGAGGGGGCACAGGAAGGCGCCCAGTGTGTCAGAGGCACTTGGACACAGTGCCCTGTTCCATATTCACTACTAACAGCAACTGACCTCCTTATTCCACACCACGTTTACAACCCTTGGAAAGTCCCAGGAACACCTGCATCATTTTTCTTTAAGGGCTAAGAAACATGGGCACAAAGGGGTAGAGAGACGGCTCAGGCTGGATGCTAACAGGAGCTGGGAATCAGCTCCCTCCCAGGACAACTGGAAACTTCAAGTGGCTGCCCCACTGCTTGAGGGTGGTGCTGGGAGCTTGGGGCTTGAGCAATAGACTGGACTCCCTGGGGTGGAGGGCAGGGAAGCTCGACCACTTCTCTGATTGCAACTGACCAGCCTGGGCAGCCCACTGCAGAGAGGCCGGGATCTGTGCAGTCTGCAGGCCTCCTGGAGACATGCCCGGCTCAGCAGCTGGCCTTCTCCGACAACGGGACCGTGGCCTTTCCACACACTCTTGACGCCTGCACGTTCATCTGCAAAAGATGGCAAGAGACAGAGTGAGGCGGGCTGCAGGCTGTCTGTTCCCTTGCTCAGCCCTGCAGGGAACGCTTGCAGGGTCAGGCCCTGTGCTGGGCCTGGGAGCAGGAAGGAATTGGACAGAGGCTCCCCTGCAGGAGCTCTGGGCCTGGTGGGGGACATTTGGAAACAGATGGGACAATAGGATCAATGACTCCCCAGGGGAAAAGACATTTGGACGGAGCACCAGGGTGAGAAGGCAGAGTGTGTTGGATGGAGGAGGCAGAGGCGGGTCTGCAGCTCCACAAGACTCACGGCACAAGAGTGGAGTGTGGGGGACCCTCTCTCCCCAGTGCCCAGCAGGGCGCCAGCACACAGTATGCACAAAGAAAGTCAGTAGTTCACTGGCTCATCATCTCGCTCTCTCATTGACTGGCTCACACCTGGCAGCCAGAGAGATGCTTTAGAAGTCAGAGCTGGGCGCAGGGGCCAAGGGCAGAGGATCACTTGAGCTCAAGAGTTCAAGATCAGCCTAGGCAAGACAGCCAGAGCTCATCTCAAGAAGCCAGAGTCAGCCCGGCACTGTGGCGCACTCCTGTAATCCCAGTGGCTTGGGAGGCTGAGGTAGGAGGATCAAGAGTTCAAAGCCAGCTTCAGCAATGGTGAGGCGCTAAGCAACTCAGTGAGACCCTGTCGCTAATAAAATACAAAACAGGGCCGGGGATGTGGCTCAGCGGTAGAGCACCCGCCTTGCACGTGTGACGCACTGGGTTCAATCCTCAGCACCACAGAAAAATAAATAAAGTATTTTGTCCAACTACAACTAAAAAAAATTAAAAAAAAAAAAAAGTAACAAAATAGGGCTGGGATGTGGCTCAGTGGTCGAGTGACCCCGAGTTCAATCCCCAGCACCAAAAAAGAAAGAAGCCAGAGTCAGGCCCCACTGCTGGAGGCCCACCACCAGGCCCTGGCGTGCCCCCCCCCCAGTCCCACCTCTGCTCTAGCCACACGGGGCCTCCAGCTCTGACTCAGGTCTTACGTAGCTACCACCATGGGGCCCTGGCACCTGCCACTTCCCTGCTCAAAATGCTCTCCCCACAAGTGTTCTCACGGCTCTTCTCAGACCTTCACCCCCAACTCATCTCCTCACGGAGACCCACCCTAAAATTCCAAGGCCGCCATCTGAGAGCCCTGCTGCAGCCGACCCTCCGGGCGCACATCCTGACTCGCGTCCCCCCTCTTCCTTGTTTCGCCCCTGTGCTTGGAACAGGGCTCCATGGGGCAGGTGTGTTGGGTCCAGGACTGTGCCTGGCTCTCGAGGTAGACTCCACAAGGGCTGAGCGGGAAGGCTGGGGCGCAGCTCGGGGCGCAGCACCCATGGAGCACGCCGAGGCCCGGGTTCCATGGAGAGCGAGTCGATGGACAGGGTGGACCAGGGGGCGAGTGAACAGGGAGCCGTGAGAAGAGCGGCGCCAGGGCCCAGAGAACCGCTGGGACCCCACAGGTCCTGGAGACAGAGCCCACTTCCCCGTCTTGTTCCCGCAGGGAGGGAGGCTAGTTTGGTCCTGAGCATTTTTAACCTAATGTGAGCCACACTGCTAGGTGGGACAGACAGGTAGACGGACAGCCAGGAAGCCTCAAGCAAGGCCTGGCTGCTTGGGACCCTTGTGCCAGAAGGATCTGAGTCCACCGCGGGGTGGGCGGGGGCTAGGTCTGACACGGGGACAGGAAATGCTGCCCGCACCCTCGCCTGACCATGGCTGGGGGTGCCAGGCTTGGGTGGCACCATATATGGTGCCGGAGCCCATGACCCAGGAATAGAAGCTGTGTATGGGGCCAAGTTGGCCACAGCCCAATACCCGAGTGACCTCAGGCTCAAAGCATGCTCTTGGTCCCCTAAATGGGCTTTGCAGCTGTGGCACAAGTCCTGGTCCTTGTCAACCGGGCCTGGAACACCCCTGCCACCTCCTCCTGCCTCCAGGCTTCCGGCCCTGTGGCCAGCGAGCGAGTTAACCTTGTCACTTTGGGCCCTTCCGCGGCTCCCTGTTGGGAGGACCCCCACTCCCATGATTCATCTCAGGTAAGAGCCAAGGGTGAGCAGAGCGAGGTGGTGGAGAGGCCTGGACCCACCACAGGGAGTGTGGACACCGGGGCCAGGCCCCAGCACAGGGAGAAGCTTTCTAAGCTGGCGGTCAGCCCTTCTCAGGGCCTGCATCCACGTCTGCTTCCCCAGGAAGAGCCCCTCTGGCCCTCTCTGGGCTCCCATGTCCAGCCTAGCTCAGGCCAGCCCTGGCTGACCGTGGCCCAAAAGCAGAGTCATGGGGATGGTCAGACCCGTCCACAGCAAGCCCCACGAACCCCGCCTCCACGCTGAGTGGCTCCCCAAGTGCCAGCGCTGGGCCCTTGGAGAGCCAGATGTCCTGATGGGGACATGGAGAGGGAAGGGGACTCAGGCAAGGGAAGAGCAGGGCCTTGGGCCTCGGTCGGGGGCCTCCACAGCTCCCTCTGCTCCCTGCGGGCAGCGTCTGCACTTTCATAACCTTCTGGAGGGACGCGAATCCCCCCGCCCAGTCTCCATCCAGCGAAGGGAGAGGAGAGAGGGCGGCCAGTTCTTAGTCAGGCTCGTGTCAACCTCCTGTGGCCGCCCAACAGATGGCCACAGACTTGGTGGTTAACACTGACATTCTCTCACAGTTCCAGAGGGCAGGAGTCCAGCGTCAAGGTATCAGCAGGACGGCGTTCTCTCCTCAGGCCCCAGAAGGACCCTTCCTGCCTCTTTTGGCCCCTGTTGGCTCCGGGCATGGCGAGGCCTGAGGCTGCCCTGCGCCGGCTCTGCCGCCTTCTCACCCCCTTGTCCAGCGTCCCCTCGGTCTCTTTCGACACTCGCCATCAGACTCACAGCCCAGGTGGGTAATCAGGACGAGTCTCTCATCTCAGGACCCTTAATCACCTCCGCAAAGACGGCTTCCCACCGAGGTCACACTCGCAGGTGGGTCAGGACACCCGGACTGTTTCTGAAGCTCTGTTGGTCCCACCACGCTCCGCCCTGGAACCACCCTGAGAAGGGAGAAGGTCTGTTGGCAAGTCCCAGGTGGAGAAGCCGAGGCTGCGGCAGAGAGCGACTTCCTCACGTCACAAAGGATCAGAGGCACAGTGGGGGTGAGGACCCAGGGCCTGACCCTGGAGCCCAGGGCTGCGTCCCTCTCCATGCACCGATGTCTTACAGTCATGGCTTCACGGGGCCCCTTCTCAGGGGGGCCCTCCTTGGCCACTTGGCCTGAGTGGCCACCCTCCGCCCCCTACTTCTGGTCACTTCGTGGGGTGGAAGCAGACTGAGACCAGGGGAGCCATGTATGGGGACTGAGTGTCCTGGGACTGTGAGGGTGAGGGCGCAGGACAGGCAGAGGGAGACCTGGGCCGAGGTGGCCCCATAGGAGCACTCAGAGCAGCCCCTCAAGAGACGGCAGTGAGGGCCACGCATTGGAAGCCTTTTCTCTGACAGGATGACCAGGCGGTTTCTTTGTGCAGATCTATCAAGGGGCCGGGAGGGAGGGACATTCAGGGAGCATGACCCTGTGGCCCTCTTACGCCCAAGGCCAGCAGCATGGAGCCTGGCCTGGCCCCTCCCTCTTTATCAGGACCCCCAATTCTCCAGATTGGACAGAGCACACGATCCGACCCCATAGTCACCCAGAGTCCCCAGGCCACATGCTTCACAGTTTCCCTTCAGATCAGGACTTGGTGTGGGCAGCCTGGGGGACAAGGACCCTGCTGACACTCCTGGGTTCCCCTCCCAGCCCTGCCACATGCCAGCAGGACAGGTCACCTCCCTGAGCCTCGAGTTCCTCATCCGTGGAGAGGGTGTACCCAGGCCCAGGCCGCCGGCTACTGTGGGATTCAGTCTGGGGAGGGTCTCAGCCAGGCCCTGAGCTCAGGTGCGGGGTCCAGGGAGGACCCGGGCAGGGTGAGGGCAAGGGAGGCTCAGGCTCCTAAACCACCTTCTCTGCCGTCCTTGCTTCCAGGGCCCCACCCCCTTGGGACCATGTGGCCTTGATCTCCACTGACAGGGCAGCCCTCTGGGGACACAGCAAGGTGGGCGCCCTCCATGGCAGCAGAAAGGGTCCGAGGTGACGTGCCAGTGTCCTCCAGCAGACAGGCTGGTCTAGGTTTTCCCGCCGCGTCCATCCTTCCTTCTCTGTTGACAACACCCGGTTCCACGCCCGACACTGACCCCACTGCGGGCTTCCAGGATGGACACTCAGTTCAGGTCTGGCTGATGACTGCATTCCCTTGGCCACAGTGACGGGGTCAGGGAGGGACATCACCCAGGCCAGGCCAAGCAGAGGCACGTGCATTCTCATGGGGTCACTGAGCTGTGAGCCAGAATCAGGGACCTGCCAGGGTGCAGCTGGCCCCACGTCAAGCGTTGCCAACAGCTGGAGAGAAAGAGACCGGGTGGCTTGTCTGCACCTGAGCCCCACTGGACCCGAAGCCAGATCGCTCCTGGCTCGTCCTGTCAGTAGAACATTCTCCTCCTCAGTTTGAGCCAATGTGCACTGGATTCCCACTCTCACAATCGTGAGTAATTTTACACACACAGGAATAGCAAGGACAGGGTCTCCTCCAGGGGCCACGTTCCAGGAACTGGACGCTTGAGTTAAAAGAGTGGTCAAGGGCCACTTTCGTTGGCCCATAAAGTGTGATTTCTTTTTACCAAGAAAAAGTATTTATATATTTTACCACAGAAAACAACCAGGACACTTTAAAACATTATCTGCGAGGCAGCACCCCAGGCTCCGGGCTTGGACTCAGCCTGGCTTTGAGTCCAGCAGAGCCAGCTGCTAGCGGGTACTGACCAACGACCCCTGCCAAATGCGGACAATCACAGTGTCCTCGCAGAGCCCCAGGAGGCTTTGCGAGCTGCCTGGTAAACAGTGCCCAGGTGAGCGTGTCAGTGCCCAGGTGAGCGTGTCAGTGCCCAGGTGGGCACAAGCCCACGCCAGGCCTCTGCTCGTACAGAGCTTAGTAAGAGCCTGGGCTGCTGGGGACACGTGGGTCGGGGAGGACCTGGGATTTCACAAACACAAGGCAGAAGTGTGGGGGCACTCTGGGGACCACGCCTTCCTGACCTGAAGCACAAGGCGCTGGCCAATCACTACACTTCAGGTCCCAGCTCGGAGAGCAAGGCGGTCTTCAGTGGAGGCTACCCCTGGGGTTGAGTCACATTCACCTGTCCCTTGTCGTCCTTTATGGACAGAACTTTCTAAGAACAGTGTCCCCCCCAAATAAAAGCTCACCTCCGAATGTGCTTCCCTCTCTCGTCGGCCTCCAGTGACTTTCTCTTGCTCTGCCTTTTGGGGAGCTTGAGGCCGAGGGCCGGGGAAAGCCGTCCTGGAGCCTGTGTAAAGGTAATCTGTGTCTGCGTTTATTTTGCATCACCCCTAATTCAACGAGCGACCTTAGTTCAGCGCCTGCGCTGGACGGGGGTGGCGCGGAAGCTCTCGGGGGCTCACTGTAGCCAAGGCTACACCAAACCAGAGACGACCTGGTCTAACCTGCCACTGAGGAGGCTGCGGGCGGGAGCGGCAGTGTCTGCCTCCACAGAGAACTGGTGGCGGCAGGCCTAGAACCTGGCTCTCAGGTCAGCACTGAGTGACCAGCCGTCGGAGCTGCGCGCACCCCACACCTCCAGCCATGACTCTGCCCACAGGACCCAGCTCAGAGGCGGTGGGGGACTGGCTCATGGCCTCCATCCCTCACCTGTGCAAGTGGAGACCGGCTCTGCCTGACCACTGTGTCCCCTTTACCTGCTCCCATGGGAGTGGGGACTGGAAGTCTGGGCCAACACATATGGGAGAGGGGCCCTGGGTGGAGCGAGACCCTGAGAGAGCACACATGCTCACGAGCACACACAGGAGCTGGAGGGAGACAGCACAGATGGGCCCTTCTCAGAACCTTCCCCAAGTCCAGGGGAGAGGAGGCTCAAAAATAAATGATGGAGGCTGGGCTGCAGCTCCGTGGCAGAGCACTTGCCTAGCACGTGGGAGGCAGGGTTCAAAGTCTCAGCACCAGATAAAATAAATAAATAAAGGTATTGTGTCCATCTACAACTAAAAAAATAAATAAATAAAAATTAAAAAAACAAACGATGGAGCCGTGTGTGGAGCTGCACACCTGTAACCCCAGTGACTTGGGAGGCTGAGGCAGGTGGATCGCAAGTTCAAGGTCAGCCTCAGCAACTTAGCAAGACCCTAAGCAATTCTGTGAGACCCTGTCTCAAAAATAAAAAGGGCTGGGGACGTGGCACAGTGGCAGAGTGCCCCGGGGTTCAATCCCCAGTAACAACCACAACAGAAAAGTAAATGATGGAAACTTCCGCTGACTCTGTCAACCAGCCCTCACTCAAGACCTTCGCACTCTACCCCAGTGCCCTCCTGTTCTTCTCTCCCCAGGGCTCCCTGTCCCTCTGGACCTCCCCCTGCTGCCCTTCTAGACGGGTTCCACCCACATTTCCCTTCCTCTTGGCAAGGGCAAGCATTGTTCATGGGATAAGTCACTGAGCAGGGACCCAGGCTTCCAGAAACACAAGGATCTCAGAAAGTCCGGAGACCAGGAAAGATCACAGCCTCCAGAATCCCAATCCAGGTGCTCCGACAGTGGTCCTGCTACTAACTGGCAATGTGACCTCAGGCCTATCTCTGTCCCTGGGGCTTAGTGTTTTTTTCTCTATAGAGATAAGGGGTAGGTTCTGGTCTCACAGCACTGGTCCTCCTGGGTGGGAAAATCAACACCCAGAGTTTCCAAAGGCCACTTGGAGGGTCCGCCGTCCTGTTTCCAACCCACCTGCCCACCCACAATCTTTTAGGGCATGAATAGACTATTTCTACTTAAGAAGTAAGAGTGGGGGCTGGGGTGGGCTCAGCAGCAAAGCGCTTGCCTAGCATGTGTGAGGCACTGGGTTCGAGTCTCAGCACCACATTTAATAAATAAATAAAGGTTCATCAACATCTAAAAAAATATCAAAAAAAAAAAAAAAAAAAGAGTGGCAACTCGTGGAAGTGACAACTTGTAACAGGGCTGTTTCAGAGCAGTGGTTACAAAGTGTGCTTGCTCCAAAGCCTTTAAGGAGCTCCAACCACAAAATCAAGCACAGAGGGCTTGCTCTGTGGGTAGCTCAGACAGAAAATGCGGGGTGTGAAGACTTGTTTCTAGTAGGAATACGGCTGGGCAACGCAGGGAGAAGCTGCTTCAAAACCAAAAAACCCTTTAAAAAGTAATCCCAGCCCCAAGGAAAGAACAGAAAGTCATGATACAAGTGCTGGAGATGAGTCGGGCAAATTGAAAGGTATCTGATGAGGACCCTAGTGAGAACTGATAGATCTCAAGGGGAAAAAAAAATGCAGAAGACCAAGCCATCTCCTAGACCAGACTGCAGGGAGGACACGGGAGAACTGACTCCATGATCTGAGCAGCAGCGCCTGTCTGCAGTCCTGGCTACTTGGGAGGCTCAGAGAGGAGGATCGCTCCAGCCAGGAGTTTGAGGCTAGTCTGAGCAGCACCGAGACCCCATCTCAAAAAAGAAAAGAACGCAGGGGGCAGGGAGGTATGGACAAAATCAAACAGGTAATCAGACATAAAAGAATCCAAGAAGGAAAAAATAATAATAACAAGATGGATCCAGGAACTCTGTCCAAGAGACGCAACACACGCACAACTGGAGACCCCGGAGCAACTGACAGAATCAACGTTCACAATTATAACTCAGGAAAATCCGATTTTATGAGTCAAAGAAGGACACCATGTACTAGCAAAAACAGGGACGCCAAGTGGCACATCCCCAACGGTGTAGCACAATCACTGGACTTTAAAGATACGAGACAAAAAGATGGAGTCATCATGACACCAAGAGAAGGGGTCTGCCTCAGGCTGCTGGACAGAGAGCCAGGGGCAGGTCCTCCAGGTCCCCAAGGAAAAGAAGTCTGAGCCAGAGATTCGGCCATTCTGTTCCCGGCCCGGAGGGTTGAGTGCCCACAGTTTGGAGATGCGGGGGGCCTGGGCCACTCAGACCACATCACTCACACGAGCCCTGAGGAAAACAGAGGGACAAGCTTTGGCAAAAGCACTGGGTGTATTTCACTCCAGATCAAGAAAGTGGGGGACAGTAGCAATGAGGATGACAGAATAGAAGGAGGACATTACATAGTCAATGTAGAAATGAAAGCTGAAAAAAGCCACCAGTGGACGTTTAGGCACCTTTAAGATGCAAAGATGACCACAGTGAGGGGTGATGCCACCTTATTGAATTTGATACACCAGTGTTTATAAGATGCATTGTTAAGTTATGTGACACTAAAAAGTTGAAAATGCTGCTAATCACACCAGGACGCTTCGGCTTACAACATAGAATTTTTTAAAAAAAAATTTTTAGTTATAGTTGGGCACAATACCTTTATTTTATTTTATGTGGTGCTGAGGATCGAACCCAGCACCTCGCATGTGCTAGGTAAGCGCTCTACCGCTGTGCTACAGCCCCAGCCCCACATAGAATTTTTTTTTAATGTTTATTTTTTAGTGGTAGTTGGATACAATACCTTTATTTTATTTATTTCCTTTTATGTGGTGCTGAGAGTTGAACCCAGGACCTCGCATATTCGAGGCCAGTGCTCTACCGCTGAGCCAAAACCCCAGCCCCTAGAATTTTTATTTAGAAAGAAATATTCTTTTTCTTCCCCAGAGTGCTGGGCCTCCAGGAGGCTGGACGGACACTGTCCCCTAAGCTGAAGCCTGATTCCTCTGAATGACTTTGGCTCAGGTGGGGGCATCCACCGCCACCTCCCACAGCAGCAAGTGCCTGGGTAATCAGCTGTGGCTCCCTCCCGGCCCCAGGACTACTGCCCAAGCTGCAGATACTCTCCTGCCCCCGGCATTGCATGCGTGGGCAAGGGTGCCGTCCTGAAGGCTGCCGGACACAGCTCCCAAAGGGGTGAGTGTAGAAACACCCACCGCTACAGAACCTCTCAACCGAGCAGCTAAAATGAGACCCGACAAGAGAAAGGCAGCGGGCAGCAAGAGACACAAGTGTTAGTCACAAAAGAAAAACACGGACATGTTGAAAGAGGGAGCTGGGATCAGTACAGACCCAGATACAAACATAACAGTCACCACTAAAACAAAATGCTGGAGAGACCAAAGACAGCTGCCAATAAATATAGAGGATGAACTCGCCTGTATTTAAGAAGAAAAAGTGTGTTTCTTGCTTTTTTGTTTTTGGGGGGGGGGGGGGGTGGTGCTGGGAATCGAACCTAGGGCCCGTTATCACTGAGCTACACCCCCAGCCCTTTTTATGTTTTGAGACAGGGTCTCCCTAAATCACCCAGGTTGGCCTTGGACTTGTGATCCTCCTGCCTCAGTGTCCAAGATGTTTAGATTAGATCCCAAGCAAAACCCAATTTGATGCTGCATTCAAATGAAGTGATTTAGAATGGTTCAAAGTAAGAGCAGGAGCAAAGGTGTGTAGACAAAAACAAACTGGGTTGGGTTGGTGACACATGCCTGTAATCCCAGCAGCTTGGGAGGCTGAGGCAGGAGGGTCATGACTTCAAAGACAGCCTCAGCAACTTAGTGAGGCCTAAGCAACTCTGTGAAAACCTGTTTTTAAATAAAATACACAAAAGGGCTGGGGACGTGGCTCAGTGGTTAAGCCACCCCAACCCCTTCAATCCAAAAACAAACCAACAAACTGGCATCATGCTCTGTTCAAGACAAACATGACTTAATGAGCCATAGAAGACAATCTATAATGCTAATGGTATAATTCATAGTCAAAGGGCCAGGCAGTCAGGGTAATGGTCCCAATTAAGGTCTCAAATGTAAAGAACAGGAGGCTCACTGGTGAGAACATTCTAGCAACTCCTTTAGGAAATGGAAGGTGGGGGTGAACCCCAAAGGGAGTTAGTTATAGGCAGGATTAAAACTCAAAGTCTCTGGGACACAGCCAATGCCCAGATACTTTCCCAATACCTGTTTCACATAATCAATGCTCAAATGCAAATGCTCTCCGAGGTTAACACACCAAAATGGGTTTTCGGCTTAGGGGACAGTGTCCCGCCCTGGGGGAGTTCCCTCTCTCTTAAATAAAACCCACTCAGTTCACTCTTGCCTTCTGTTATTACTCATGGATTTCATTCTTCAAGTTTACAGACAAGAACCCAAAGGGAAACTGGCAAACCCAGAGTGAGTCTCATCTCACACTCTGGTTTCTGCAGCAATTTTGAAGAAGCAAGTCCAGGGACACCAAGATAAACAGATTAAAGCACACGAGGGGAATGTTCACCTCACTTCTCACAGTCCAAGAAACATTAAAGAGAACAAACCTAAATGAGAATTCAGAAGACCTCATTAAAACAATCACT